ACGCCGCAAGCGTTCAAATACAAACAAAATAGAACGGCGTCGGTGGTGATCATAAACGACGCGCACGTCATGCACGAGAAAACGTCCAAGGCAGTAGACAGAGTGTCAAACGTGATACCCAACATGTTCAAGAACCTACTGGACCACAGCGTTTTGGAAAGCGAAGTGGTCACGAAAAACATTGCGACCGGCCGCTCCAACACCGTGAGCCATTACGCCGTGCACAACTGCGGGTTCGTCTGGAACACGAACACGATGGGCTTCGTCAGCGAAGCGTGGGTCGACAGATGTCTGATGATGGAATCGGAGTATTCGAACGACCCGCCCCGAACGCGCAGCACTAAACAGCTCATGGACGTGGTGGAGCGCGAACGGATGGATCGCGTTACGCAGATATGCCTGTATCGACAAAACCTAGTGCAGTGCGCCACGATGATCGCCAACTCGGATGCGATACAATTCACGGCGCGCTACGACGTCGCGCGACAACACTGCCTGAACGCGATACGAAAAGCGCATGTCGTGTGCGAAGGCGTCGTCGCTCGAAGGGAAGAGGAGCGGATAAATCAGTTGGTGTACGCCGAGGCTATGAAATTGGCGTGTCACTTCGTTTTCGACCTGTGGATTCCACCGTGGATGGACCTACCCGCACCGGCGGACTTTACGAACTACGCGGATTACGCGAGGAGCGTGAACGCGAGCAGAGTGCGAGCGCTCGACGCGCTGACTTTTGGACAAGTCGCGTTGGAAGTCAACGTCGTCTACAAGCTGTGCGTGGTGGCCTGCCTGCCCGACATTTGTCCGCGCGTGCTCAACATGCAAGCGCGGTTCGTATGTAAAATCCTGGGCTACGTGTTGACGCAAATACACGCGCAGGCTCTGGATACGCACATCAAAGACTCTAAATTGACCGTGTCCCAACAGGACCGATTTCAAATCGAGGACGATGTTTTGAAGGGGGGAAGCGAAAGCATGCACAAGCTACTGGTGCTGGCGGCGGACTGTCGTGTTCCGGTCAGAGGCAACGGCTTTATGCGCCTGTGCACGTACTGGTTGTCCAACAGCACGTATTCGGCGAGTAAAGCCAGGGGCCTACGAGACCAATGCAAAAAGGTCTCGTGCGTGTCCGTCTCGTTGGAGCTCGTCTACAACCTGTTGGCTTTGTACGCGCCGCGGTCGCACGTGGCGTTCTGGACGGCAGTGTCAAACGCCATTTTGATGCGTTTCAAAACGGCGGCGGCGACAACGCGACCGCTCTAGCTCAGTGCCAAGACGACAATGACAAGCGACGGCGGACGACGACGGCGGACGACGACGCCACACTTTACATTCACGTTAGATTTCACGGAAGATCCCGTGCAAGCGACGGTCTTGGAAGCCACGGCGGGGGTGCGGATCCTGGACGAGCTGTCGTTTGAGAAAAGCGTGATGGGCGACCACGTGTACCGATGTTCCGTGCCCGCGTATTATGGGGGCGTGCTCGTGTACAGACTAGGCGAGTCCGCGCTGCGATACGCGTGCGACGACAATCACCTTGAGGAGTCTATGGTCGGCCCGCGCGGAACGTTTCACGGCGCCAGGTTGTGTGTGTATTCGTTGCGATATAGCGGCGTGCCCGTGGAGAACGTGTCATCGTTTTGCACGTTGAGGACTGTGTACTACCAGGACAAAATCGTCCTCAGACGCAACAAAGACGACCGCGGCAGGTACATTTCGCGCCTGGAACCCGACTGGGAGTGGTGCGACGCGGTGGACGTCTTCAACTCCATCAGAAACAACGTCGTGTTTACTACGGAAATGTTAAAATTGGACTATGCTTTAACGATGGTCTGCTTAGAAAGATTGTACCACGAACGCTTGGCGTACGTGGCTCGCACGGACGGGAACGTGGCATTAGCGCTGCGAAGAGACGAGGTCCCCACACGGACGCGTAAACGGACCGGCAGTGTTGACGACAACAACAATGGCGGGGACAATGTTAAGCGAGCGCGCTTATAACGTTTATAACGATTTGTAATTATACTGCATCAGTATGTTGTTGGTTTTTGTTTATGTCGTTTACAATAAACACGTGGTGAGTGAAACAGAGTGTGGTGATTTTTTTTGTGGGTCCAGTTTATTGTAGACGGCCAAGGTTAACATACATTGTGCATAGACACATGCTCGCTTACAATAAAAACACGCGGTGATTTATTTCTTTTGGTCAGTTTATTGTAGACGGTTACATATATTGCATAAACAGATAACACCGTACACACATGTCATATACATATTTACAGATAAAATATCACAAGGCCGCGTTCACGGCAATCGCGGGTAATCCGTGTCCGTGTTCTGACTGTTTAAACTTGACATGCGGTGCCATCGTTTGTTCGCCGTGTACATATACACAACCGCGGTGGTTGTGCAATACACGTGTCCCACGGCCGTGCACACGTTAAGTACCGTAGTCATGTGGCAACCTAAAACAAAGCTGAAATACACGATGCTTATCAGCCACGGCAACCAACAGCATATAAACGATGCAAAGGCGACGACCGGCAATGATTGAGCCAGTCTAAGGGACCGTCCGTTAGCACACGGGTTATTGTGTACGTGAGTACGGACGAATCTCACTATCGCGATGTTAAGGTACAATAACACGCACGTGGAGATGACAAAATACACAAGTATGCGAGTCCAAAACATGGCGCGACCGAAAACGCCCGCCTTCAGACTCGCGCACACGGCGAGTGTGTGGCCCACGCGGACCGCGGTCCAGTTGCACATATCGAACAGTGCCGTGCCGCTGGGTAGAACGGCGAGGACGATTGGAACGCGGCTCCTCCTCTTGCGGCTCGTGTTGAGAGCTCGACAGCCAAACGCGGCGTTTCGATACACCACGGCCGCGTAGCGCTCGACGCTCATGTACGTGAGCAGGAACACACTGTATTGGAAGCAAAACTGGAGACACAGAACACAAGCCCCGGGTTAGTGGCGTCGGCAGACTCAATTGTTGATTTTTTTTGTATTACAACTCACCGTCGTGACACCCTTTGCCACAACGCAACCGCCGCGTCCCAAGATCCATCCTAGCTTCGGTATCGCTTGCAAAGTCCACGTGGGCATTATAGACAAAATTATCACGTTACACACTCCGATTAAGAGGAACAACACGTCCGTATTAGACAACTTTACGTGCAACTTGTAGTGCGCGCACGCGATGCGACCGAGCACGTACAAGTTGGCGATCAGCCCGACGATCGCCACCGCGCAGTGTAACGCGATGATCGTAAACAACCAAAACCGCGGACTGCGTATGACAGCGAGGTCCGTGTGGGTAGGTTGACCCCGGACCGCTTCTGTTGTATATTGAGACATCTTCGCTGGTGTTCATCGCGATTGAGACTGCGGGATTGGGTTGTTTGTCGGACCGTTTTATGTACACAACTCGCTCACCGACCGTGCTCGTCGACAAAGACCGCCTCGTAAAAACTCACACAAGATATCCCGACGGACCGCGCTCCGCGGCGCCAACCAAACTATCCCAACCGACAGTCTTGGGTCGTAGATAGATACAAATACGAAATGAGTGCACCACAGTAAACAGTTCACAAACAAGCGCAATGTCTTTTGATTTTCCTTTATTTTTCACATATCCGTTATACATGAGACGGGGTTAAACGATACACACATCTTTTTCTGTATTCGCGTATGAGAATATCCGAAATCGACTCGGGGTGTTTCCCGTTCCACATAGCTATACGTTTTATATAAGGCCACCAATCTCATACGCCCGTATTCGGATTGTTTCTTTTCTAAAAGTCTCGTTGAAGCCGTTTCTTAGTTGTCGTCGGAGTCGAACTCAAAGTCGGACACCAAGTCGAACACCTTGCGCCTGCGAACGCGCTCGTGCACCGTATAGTCGATCGGTAGCAGAGCGATACCCAGGTCGCTGGTTATGTATTCTAGGACGTTGATTGCGTTCTTAAATTTTCTATCGACCCTACGTCTCCTTCGCACAATAAAAAAACGGCGTTCTAAACAGTACATGCACGCAACTCTTTGTGTTTATGACGATAAACAAATGTCCTTTGGGCGCTTCATCGAAATACCGCACGACGACGCCGTGTTTGCGGTCTCGCGGTTGACTTTCGATGTATTTGTCAAGAATGTCAAAGCACTCTTCTCTGACCGCACCCCAGAACATGTCTTCGTCGGCCAGCATACAGTATAGGTCTTTCAAGCCCTGCACAATCCCGTCGGTCGAACCCCGCAACCCGAGGTTGAGTCTCGTTTCGGATATGCTTCTCAGCCACAAATGTCCCACGAACGAATCCCGCGACCTGGGTTATGGTTTGGACATGCACCTCGGTAACAAATGGAACGCCTTCTTAAAGAAGTCGATCAAGCGCTCCAGAGACCTATATTCCTTATCGTCAAACACGTACGTCTCGATGGTGTAGCATTATTTTATCCAGATCGTGTATCTCTTGTACCGCTCCTTCTCTTCTTCTTTTATAAGCACGGCACATATTGTACCGACTTCGTCCTCAGGCGACGGGTCGTGAAGGATAACGGTGCCCTTTGGAACAGTCTTAATGATGCGCTCGATCCGGTCGAGCGGTGTGCTGCCCCACCACACGTGACCCATTTCTGATATAAACGAAGCCCATTTTTCGGGTAAAGAAATCCACCGTTGGATGATGTTGATCTCTATCGCGCTTTTGGGTCATGTCGACATACGATACGTTTCATTTATAGTATACATTTAGGTCAGATGTGCATGACAAAATCACGCGGGAAAGGACATAATGTGTTGCGCGACTCTGGAAATATATATGTTTTTTTTTTTTTTTTTTTTTTTTTTAAAAACTCTGGTTGAATCTTTCTTGAATCTTGTGGACTTGTTTTTTTTTTTTTTTAAAGCGCCGTCCAGTTTACACCCTGCCGGCTGAGCGCGTGCGTCGCTGGGGATAAAGCGGTCTCTGGACATTTATAAAACTATTCTTCTGAAAATATTATACCAGGGCCCAGACGGCAAAAGAGATGGCGGTGCCCAGCACCAAGCCGAGGGATGAGAAGAAGGTCACGATGGCGCCAGCGGTCTCTGCCTGATGCTGCGGCACCCCCTTTGGTCCCAAGCACATGCAGAGGCTGGCCAGGTAGCCGTTGGAGAAAGCGAAGAGGATCATGAAGACGACGTACCAGGCGTCGTGATAAAAGAGAACGGGGAGGTGGCGACGAGGCACGACGTTACAGAGCATGAAGAGCGGGATGAAGACGACCCACAGGCCCACCAGCGCGGGAAGCCAGATGCCGTCTTTACCAGGCCACGCGCAGAAGGCCGTCAGGCTCCGGCCGGCCCAATCCATCGCGTTGAAGAGCAGGAAACACGACACGGGGACGAAGTACTCGTTCCAGCCGCCTTCGTTTGTGACCGTCGTCGGCTTGACTTCAGCGGTCACGGCCAGAAAGGCTCTGATGGTGATGAGGAAGATGAAGCAGACGGACAGCGCCGTCGTCCAGATCTGTTTGAAGATTTTAAAGATGGAACTGTCTTCCATCAGGTTTTCTTTTTTCATCAATCCCATCTTCTTGTTATGCTCCATGTAGTACCGGAAGAATTCCATCCTGGGCAGAGCGATGTAAGACGTCGCAACCAGAAAAATGACAACGCAGGCCGCAACGAAGTAACCAAAAGCGCTGTCGCGCGGTCTCGATCCAGTAGCCAGCGCGCAGATCATGGCGAAAGAGGCAAAGGTGCCGGCCAGACCCTGCCCGCTCATGATGGCGGTGGTGTAGGCGGCGGGGAGGATCCCCTCCAGTCCAAACAGACTGCTCTGAAAGATGGCCCCAAACGAGCTGATGCAGACAATTTTGATCGTCGTGAGGACAAAGAAGGGTAGCGGTGTCACGTTCACTTTGACAAACACTGCCGTCAGCGCGAAAACCAGCATGACGACGATCAGGCTGCCCGAGATGCGCAGCTTCTGAGGTATCCGCCGGTGAATGAAGGAGTTGAGGCAGGTGAAGATGAGCGGGGGCACCATAACACAGAGCGTCATAACGTTGTTGAACTTTGACTCGAGCACACCACGAGTTTCTCCGACGATCGCGACGAACGCCGTGGAGTTCGCCGGAGCGTCTTTCAGTCTGCTCGTGAATTACGCCGTTACTGTCGCGAAGAAATTCTACGGCAAGAGAGTTCCCAGGCCCAGGATGAAGAAAAAAATCCACAACGCATTGTACTTGTCCCGGGGTGCGCCGATGGTCGTCATTGCCGGTTTGTGTTTGCTTGCCGAAACGCTGCGTTGTTTCCGTCGCGTTCGTGGAGTTACGTGTGTTTTTACCCGCACACGGAACTACATATATTCATTTTATATGATGGGCGGAAACTAGGCTCGGTTTTAACGCGATCGTCGCCGTGGGTCATTTCGATGTAGCCACTCTCCGCTATCGCGTCTTGCTCTCGTCGTTGGCCCATTCGCCGGGCTCGTGGGCTTCCGTCTCCCGACCGACCACGGGCTTTCCGTCTCCCGACCAACCATGGGCTTTCCATCTGACTTTGCGTCTCCCGACCGCCCACGGGCTTTCCGTCTGACTCTGCGTCTCCCGACCGACCACGGGCTATCCGTCTCCCGACCGACCACGGGCTTTCCGTCTGACTTTGCGTCTCGCGACCCACCACGGGCATTCCGTCTGACTTTCCGTCTCCCGACCGACCACGGGCTTTCCGTCTCCCGACTGACCACGGGCTTTCCGTCTCCCGTTCGACCACGGGCTTTCCGTCCCCCGACTTTCCGTCCCCCGACCGACCACTGGCTTTTTCGTCTGACTTTGCGTCTCCCGACCAACCACGGGCTTTCCTTCTGACTCTGTGTCTCCTGACCGACCACGGGCTTTTCGTCACCTGACCGACCACGTACTTTCCGTCTCCCGACCGACCACGGGCTTTCCGTCTGACTTTGCGTCTCCCGACTGACCACGGGCTTTCCGTCTCCCGACCGACCACAGGCTTTCCGTCTCCCGACCGACCACGGGCTTTTCGTCTGCCTTTGCGTCTCCCGACCGACCACGGGCTTTCCGTCTCCCGACCGACCACGGGCTTTCCGTCTGCCTTTGCGTCTCCCGACCGACCACGGGCTTTCCGTCTGACTTTGTGTCTCCCGACAGACCACGGGCTTTCCGTCTCCCGACC